ATCTAGTTAGAAGGGTCTTGAAATCTCAGAATCGAAAGGGAAGAAGGTCGATGCGGAAGGGTCATCGGAATCAAAGAAAGGATCTCTGAACGAAAAGCTAATGAATGATGCTAAGGCACTAGGTATTATCCAAGGAGCTGTCTCGGATGACATTTTTCCCAGAATCTCAAACGAGAAGACCTCAAAGGGTGCTTGGGATATCCTACATCAGGAATTTCATGGCGATAAGCAAGTGAGATCCATCAAGTTGCAGGGTCTAAGCCGTGATTTCAAGTACACAAGGATAAGGGATGATGAAACCTTGTCTCTGTATCTCACTCGTCTTCTCGAGTTGGTGAATCAAATGAAAAGTTATGGGGAAGATTTACCCAGAGAGCGTTTTGTTTAGAAATTGCTCATAAGCTTGACCAAAGAATTTGACCAGCTATGTGATTGAGCAAACTAAGGACATTGAAACTATTAAGGTGCAAAAGGTAATTGCTACATTGAGGGGATTTGCACAGCGCCTTGATAGGTATGCTGAGAGTATCACTAAGAGAGTTTTCAGTAGTATGAGTGTAAATCCAAAGGGAACTCAGTCAAATCCTTCCTTTGGTAACTCTAAGCCAAAGAAGAACTGGAAATCGAAAGGTAAGAAATGGGATCCTAAACCTCAGAATTCTGTCAATTAAGGTGGCAAATACGATCAAGGAGGAAAACCAAATCAGGCTAAGGGAAAATGCAAACATTGTGATAAGCTACACTATGGTGAGTGTTGGTTTAAAGGGAAGCCAAAATGCCATGGTTGCAATCGATTTGGTCACTTCATCAAAGACTGTGATCAACCAAACAAGGCTGGAAAGCTTGTAAACTTTGCCAATCAGGTAACAGAACCTGCAACCATGGTTTATGCCTGCCATTCTGCTAGAAATATGAACATATGGTATGTTGATAGTGCATGTAGTAATCATATGACCTCTCATGAATCTTTGCTTATTGATGTTGATAAGAATGTGAAATGTAGAGTTAAAATGGGCATTGGAGATTTAGTGCAGTCAATAGGCAAAAGTACCTTGGTTATAGAAATGAAGGGTGTAACTAGATATATTAAAGAGGTTATGATTGTACCTGGATTGGATGAAAATTTGTTGAGTGTAGGACAAATGGTAGAACATGGATATTGGCTTGTGTTTGGTGATTATATGGTTGATATTTATGGAGATAGACAGATGGAAGATTTGATTGTAAGTGTCCAAATGAAAGGAAACAGATGATTTCCCTTAAGTCTAGAATATGTCAATCCTCTTATGGCTAATAGAGCAACTGTTGAAGAGTCATCTTGGTTGTGGCATAGAAGATATGGTCATCGAAACTACATCAGTTTAATGCTCCTGTAAGAGAAGGAAATGGTGCAGGGTTTACCTAGACTACAAGTCACTGAGCATGTTTGTTCTAGATGTGCTACAGAGAATGGTCACAGAGAACCATTCGATAAGGAAAAGGCTTGGAGAGCATCACAACCTCTAGAACTGATACACTCTGATATCTGTGGTCCAATGCAGATCACTACTCTTGGAGGAAACAAATTGTTTCTTACCTTTATTGATGATCACACTAGAATGTGTTGGGTGTTCTTTCTGCAGCACAAATCACAAGTCTTCAACATTTTTAAACGATTTAAATCCATGGTTGAACTTCAGAGTGGCTATCAAATTAAGAAACTCAGAAGTGATATGGGTGAAGAATACACATCCCTAGAGTTTTCAACGTTCTGTGAAGATATGAGACTAGAAAGGCAATTGACTGTTGCCTACTCTCCACAACAAAATGGTGTTGCAGAGAGAAAGAATCATACTGTGATTGAAATGGCTAGGACAATGATGTTTGAAAAGAAGATTCCCTTGAAGTTTTGGGCTGAAGCTATGAACACAACTGTGTATTTGCAAAATCATTGTCCAACAAGTGCTTTGAACAACATAACTCCAATTGAGGCATTTAGTGGAAGGAAACCAGGTGTCAAACACTTAAAGATATTTGGTTCTATGTGTTACATTCACATTCCTTCACAGAAAAGACACAAATTGGAGGAAACTAGTGAGAATGGAGTATTTGTTGGATATGGGAATTATGAAAAAGGATATAGAGTTTCCAACTTGAGACCTCAAAAGGTTGAACTATTAAGAAGTGTAATCTTTGATGAGAAAGCAATGTGGGACTGGGAAACTAATGAGTCAGTGCAAGTCTCTATTCCTTGGAATGATGAAAGAAGCTTAAGGATATCTGAATTTGATCTAGAGTCAAGTGATTCACCTCAGTCTATGCAATCTCTTATGAGATCACAAACAACTAAAGACATGTAAGCATCTCAGGAACCGGATTCACTTGGTTCTCCATTTTCAATCTCTGGAACTTACAATCATACTCCACAAATGGAAGAGTTTGAGTGATGTATATGCTCAATGCAACATGAGTATCATTGAACCTAAAGATTTTAGTGAGGCAGTCAAAGATGAAGCTTGGAAAAAGGCTATGACAGAAGAGATGTTGATGATTGAAAAGAATTCCACTTGGGAATTAGTTGACAGACCAAGTAGCAAAACCAATTGTGGGAGTGAAGTGGATATATAAAACTAAGCTGAACCTTGGTGGCTCCATTCAAAAGCACAAGGCAAGGCTTGTAGCCAAAGGCTACACACAGAAACTAGGGATTGATTTCAATGAAACCTTTGCTCCAGAGGCAAGGTTAGATACTATTAGGACACTCGTTGCTCTAGCTGGACAGAAAGGTTGGAAACTGTGGCAATTGGATGTTAAATTAGCCTTTCTGAATGGTGTTCTTGAGGATGAGGTATATGTGGATCAACCTGATGGTTTTGTGATTAAAAGGGATGAAGACAAAATGTATAGGTTAAGAAAAGCACTCTATGGTCTAAAACAGGCACCAAGGGCCTGGTATGGTGAAATTGACACATATTTGATTCATTGTGGTTTCAACAGAAGCTCAAGTAAAGCAACCCTTTATGTGAGAACCAAAGAAGGTGTTGGGACTCTAATTGTGTCAATCTATGTAGATGACATAGTGTATATAGGTAGCAGTGATGAAATGATGCAAGAATTCAAGACTGAAATGATGAACAAGTATGAGATGTCAGATTTGGGTTTACTCCATCATTTTCTTGGGATGAGAGTAACTCAAACTGAAGGGCGTATATTCATACATCAGAAAAAATATGCTCTAACTTTCTTAGATAAATTTGGGCTCAAAGACTGGAAACCAGTGAGCACTTCATTGGTTGCAATTGAAAAACTGAGAAGAGAAGATGGAAGTGAACCTGCAAATGAGTGTAAGTACAGAAAAATTATTGGGAGCCTTCTGTATTTAACAGCAATTAGGCCAGATATTATGTTCTCTACTAGTTTACTTGCACGATTTATGCACAAGCCTACCAAGAAACATTATGGAGCTGCTAAAAGAGTCCTAAGGTACATTCAAGGAACAATTGACTTTGGGATTGAATATGTGATTGGAAAATCTGCCTTGTTGATTGGTTACTATGATAGTGACTGGAGTGGATCTGAGGAGGATATGAAAAGCACCTTAGGGTATGCTTTTTCATTTGGGAGTAGAGCACTCTCATGGGCTTCAGCTAAGCAGCATAATGTAGCACTTTCAACTGCATAAGCATAGTATGTTAGTGCAACTGAAGCAACCTCTCAGGCCATTTGGCTTAGGTTTGTGCTCGAGGACTTTGGAGAAGAGCAAGCTGCTACAACTTCCCTATTCTGTGACAACACTTCAGCTATAGCCATGTCTAAGAATCCGGTGTTTCACCAAAGAACCAAGCACATTGGCAGTAAGTTTCATTTCATTTGAGATGCAATTCAAGAAGGTGTGGTCGATGTGTTTTACTACAAGAGTGAAGAACAGATTGCAGACATCTTTACCAAGGCTCTTCCCAAAGACAGATTCAACTACTTGAGAAGCTTAATTGGTGTGAAATCAGTTAGCAATTTAGAAGGGAGTGTTGAAAAGTGAATTGCTTACTAATCTCTTGTTAGTAAATGATTTACTTATTCAATTTACCTTTGTCCTGTTGTATAACTATTTTCTGTTGTGATAACTTGTGCTCATATGCCAAGTGTAGGGTCTTATATCAGTTTTCATTTTCAATGGCTCACATGCCTTGTAAGTGCCATGTGTCATAATCACAACGGCTCATGTATTTGAATGGCTGTGATGACTAATGTAAGAGAATGATTTATATGAATGAAATGCATCATTCTGCAATAGAAAGGATGTTGCAGTGATTATTCCATTTTTCTCACTCTAGCCTTTCACCCTCTCTCTGCATTCTCTTGCTCCCTTCGTAATCCAAGAGTTCATCAATGAAAGACTACTCAAATCTCAATAGACAAATGGTTAAGGAGTGGAAATCTAAAAAAAAAAAAGTCTTTAACTACACTAAGGGAAGGGGGTCATGAAAGTTTGATGCAGTGTGCTGAAAAGTAAAGCCCTAACTACCAAGGATCTTCTCATTGCTTTTATAGAAGCTGGATAGAAATTGTTGAGTATTTTACTTCTTGGAAAAATAGTCTCCAATACATGTTGTGGCGTGTAGGATATGAATAGAGTATGACAACCTAAGACTGTGAACTGATGACAATGCCCTTGAAAAGCGGTCCTCATGCAAGTTCTGTTCTGATATTTGATGGAATTGAGGACGGAAACTAACCAATCCGATGTGGTGGTGAATGCACAAAAGTGGACGAGTCTAGACTCCATTTGTGTAAAATTTCCGGTGCCTGTGTAAGTAGTTTGCACCAGTAATCCGTCACCAACTGAAGGATCATTAGGGCATTACATCACAAGGAAATACAATGTAATATTACAGGAGATTTGTCAAAATGTCTAATGATTCGAAATATACAAGAAACATGTGTTAAAACAAATATATGCTACAAATCAATGTAAAGAATCAAAAAACATGAAAAGGAACAAGAAAACCGAAACTTTTCCTATATCATAGCTTGAAAGTATTGCCATTGCTTATATTTATCCTTCCCTTCAATTTCTTTTGCTGTTGTACCACAAAAATCGAAGCTTTGCTGTTGAAATCTGACGAAACAAGCAGGTCCCCAATGATCCCCAATTCCGGGAATTCAGTCCACTCTGAGAGACCTAATGTCTGAGGGGATTGTAAGCCATTCCTTCTCCCAACTATGATAAGCTCATACTCATTCATCAGAGACCGAAGTATTCCTGTTGTTCGAACAGAATCATTTGATGTCTTTTCTATGTATGTAATATTCTCGTTTCCTACATTATGCTTAAAATCCTTCAACAGCTCATTATCAAGAATTGTATCCCAATCAGGCATTGTGTGATCATCCTCGGCATTTAATCGTACCACTGTTAGGCTGAAGCTCCCAGGGTCTTTGCTGACCCGTTTTGCAAATGTCAAGGCCTCCCTATCATCCCTACCCCCTAAGAAGATCATGGCAATGCGATACAATGCTGATGGACGTCTCAAATAGCCACGGTGAACAATGATTCCTATTGAACATGGAGCCCTATCAAGGACACTACAATTGAGTGCCCTTGTATTATTGTCCTCAGACTCTATGCTTCCATCGAAGGAGAATTTTCGATGAAATGGAAGTAGTATAATGGATGTAAGTTTGTCAAGTCCAAGTGTGCATATATCCTCATGCATTATGTTGGGTGGAGAGATGGCTGTAAATATGTTCACGAACACAGCACCTTGATTGTTCAGTTGATACTGGTCGAAGGGGATGATAACATTTTCACTATAGGCAATGTCAAATGCAACCTTTTCATGAATATGGTGGTTAATAAAGAGAGGGGCGGCTCTACCAACTAGCTCAATAAGGTGAAGGGCATTCACAAAAATTGGACTCCCTCCTGTTGGACATGAAACATCAAGAAGGTTGATGATAGGAGCGACATCATAGTGCGAGTAAATGCATGCAAGTATTCGGAGCTCAGAATTTGGTTTCAAATCCATGATGTTCCTTTTCTGGTAGCCTGCGTATTTCCTTGAAGGATCATACAAGTAATTCACCATGCTTGGCACAAGTATTGCTACAGTCAGAACACTAACGATCAACACAGCGAATGTTTGGTCATCAATGGTCTGCAATATTCGAGGCCCAAAAAACCAAGCAAAAAAATCAGTTAAATACATTTTTTATTGCATATCTAGGGTTAGGGTTTAGATAGAACGATATAAAAGTTAAAATGATTGGAGTGCTCAAGTGAATACCTTGAAGTCATGGAATAAGGAATAGGAGGCCAGCTCAACTATGCCTTTGGCACTCATAATGAAACCAATTGCAAGAGCATCATTGAAGGGCATCTTGCAAATCAAAGCTGGCACAAAACACGCTATTACTTTGGACACAAAAGTTACCACCAGAAGGATTACGTCCAGCATTAACAATTTACCATCATATGTTGCGAATGAAAGATCAGCCTTCATTGAACATACAGTTACAAAGAGTGGCACCAAAACTCCACTGGCGACACAATCCAGCATTTTCACTAGAGCTGAGCCTAATGGTGGTCCGGCTGGAACAGCTAATCCCAAAATAAATGCACCGAAAAGTGCGGTTTGGTCAAAAGCATGAGAAAGAAAAGCAGAAAGCATAAGCAGTACAAAGATGGTGTAAAGGTATACATCCTTAACAGGTTTGCCTGCAGGTGTATGTCTCACAATCCAAAAGAAGGCAGGACGAATGATGAACACAACCGTGAGAAGAAAGCCAATAAGTGATGCAATGTCAGTGAAGATTTTGTATTTTGGTTGGCCAGTTCCCATGAAAACTCTGAAAAAAGTAGCAGTACTTGTTATAATCACGTTTAGCATGTCGCTGATTAGCGCAGTAGACAATCCCAACCGACCTAGTTCTGAATTTAGGAGTTTGAGGTCTTCAAGAAGGCTAGAAACGACAGCAAATGAAGTCAAAGAATGTGTGCCGGCTACAAAAAAAACCGTCTCCAGGTCTTGTTCTCTGTGGGTAAAATATACACAAGCAGCTGCTATTGAAAAGCCGAATGCGAAGGGCACTACGAGTGACAAAACACCAATCGCTAAAGCTTTGTTTCCTGTTCTCCTTATCAATCCCACATCCATTTTCACACCGATTAGAAACATAAACAGACAGTAACCAAACACAGATGCCGTGCCAATTACATCTTGACTGATGAGTGGAAACAAGGACTCTTTGAATGTTCCCAACTTGCTTTTGATTGAAGGTCCAAGCAGTATGCCAGTCTAGAATTTATTCCATCAAACAGTCCTTTAGAAAACCAAAAACAAAACAACGAAAAAGCTTTCTGATTTCTAATGAAATTGCATGGAACTACTTGTGTTATGAATTACTTCACATCCATAAAATTTAAAGATTAAGAAAAAAAAAAAGAATCATTTCATATTTCATCACCATGAGATCATTTAAAAAAAAAAATTAAGAGATTAAGAGTATAGTATAGAAAGCACATACCACAATTTGTGAGATGAACCTGGGGAGCCTATAATGTTTGAACAGAAGGTGATGGGTGGCTTGAGTGATGATGAAAATCACAACCATCTGAAACTCCAAAAGAGGCACTAATTGATCAGTACGTGCTCGTGGTGGCACGGAAGTTTTTGAGAGATCGTCCTCCCAGACACCATGAAAGTTCATATTTGGTGGTAAGTTGAAGCAAACATTGAAGAACTTTTCATTGATATTCTGCAGCACAATGTCATCATCTTCCTCCAAACTTGAAATATTTTTCGACATCTCCTCAATAATTAAGTTTTTGCAGAAATAGATATTTATATATCTAAATGTGCTACTTGATTTTTTTTATTCTTCAAGGGAAGGAAACCAAATGCTTTACGAGGACAATGCAGGAATATAAGGTGGGATCGTGATAAAGGTTTTTTTACAGTTTTAACTGCATTTGAGATGACATAGAAATTAAGTCCTGCACCGCTCTTTTGACCACCTAATTTACTACTTACCGCGTTGATTACTGACACTCATGTAACCACATTAACCATTGGATGATTCTCAGGTCGTTGCAACGTAAAACGATTGTTCTATATTATGATTTTAGAAGTGTGATTGAACTTAAGATATTGTAATATGAATAACAAGTTAATTACAACTCAATGATGCTGCGTTGGACCTTGGGAATATCAATGCCATATCTAGATTCACAATTTTTTTAAACAACCAATTCCAAATAAATTATGAAAGAACGAGAGAGGTCGTACCCAGTGCACAAGGCTCCCGCTTTACGCAGGGTCTGAAAGAGGTGAATGTCGGCTAGCCTTACCCCCATTTATGGAGAGGCTGGAACCTGGGGACAAAAAAAAGAACCAAGTATAATTTGTTGTAATGTTATTAGCACATTTGTGATTGTGTAAATTCTAGGTAGATTGAGTTTAGGTTTTCCGATTATTCTAGAGATTCTTTCCTATTATCCTTTTGTATTTACTTAGGGAACAAGATACCATTTCCTCATGATTTACTATTAATAAAGGCATTGGTATAGGAAAAATCACAGTGTGTAAACATTCTACAATTTTATGCTTAATCACTCTGCACTCTGTCTCTTGCGCGCCCTCTCTCTCATATAGAAAATCTCTCCTATAAAATTGGTCACAACATGTTATCAGCATGCTCATTCGGTGCACTAAGGAATCTGAAGTGAATTTTCTACTATAACCATTGCCAATTATAATTACGCAATTTAGGTTCTTCTAAAATATAGTCTTAATTGTCAATATTTTTTCAATCTTGATTGCATGAACCTTCACCATGATCCATAAATTCAAATTTTTCGCATTCCAAATTATAGATTATGCATAAATTGTGATCGCATTATTTTTCAAGATATAATATCTAAACTACCAATTAATAGAACTATCTTTGTCAACTAAAAGCGGGTGAAAAGACTATTTAGTCTTCTATTACATAAAAAATGATGGGTAATCATATAATTTCATAATCTAAATTTTACTATTTTTTATTGAACCCTCACCTAAGCGATGTTAAGATATATTTAATATTAAAAAAAACGAAAACCTCCCACTCTCACCCACCTTTTCTCTCTTTCCCTCTCCCCTTCCTATTTTTTTTCAGAAAAAAATGTTTTTATACACAAAGTATGTAGGCAAATGCTAAGTATATATTATGTGAATTGATTATGGTGAAGAATCAAAAGAAACAAAAATTAAGGTTTGAATAATAAACCCCATGCGAGCAACGGCTTCGAGCCGCACCACCGAGCTACGCCAGCACCAGACTTGCAGTCTATGCACGCTGAGCTGTGAGCCGCGAGCCACACTGCTCCAAACGCAAAAACTACAAGAAGGAAAAAACGACGCCGTTTTGGAGTCGTCCTTGTCCCTCCAACGCAGACAACCACGGGTCTCGCCTGCAGTCGAGCCCAACCATCGTGGTTCACCAAGTTTTAGTGAAAAATAATCGTCTCCGATAAACTGCAGTTATCCCCGAAGAGTTTTGGTTGAGATTCCTGTTAAAATCTAGTTGAATTCGAAATCCCAAGGTTTTTTGGATTTTGGACGTTGAGGATACCTAATCCATCGAGATCAGTGGTTCCCCGTCGAACCACGGCTCACCAGCAGAACACGGTCGCCATAACGCGGCGGCACTGGTTTTCTCCGGCGAGTGTTGAATTGTGGCCAAGTGGCCATCACCTTTACTATTAAACAAATAAAAAGAAAAAAAAAAGGGAGACATCATGATGTTGTTCCTTACTTTGTGATGATGACAAATGATGATGTTGGAGAAAATTTTTTTCTTTGGTCCACGTGGGAAGTCACGGGGTGACTTATGGTTTTATTTAGCAGCAATTGCTGCTTTTGTTGTTATGAGAAGAATAGAGGGCTCATTTTTTCTGAAGAGAGAAGTTAGAGCTACCGAGAGCAAGGAGAGTTGTAGAGAGCCCAAAAGAAAGAAGAAGTTGCTGCTTCATTTGGTTAGTAATTATCCACCAAAGTAGTTGTTGTTGTAATAGCTTTGAGCTATATGTATAGAGAAGAAATTATTCATTATATTTCTTTCTCTATTTGTATCTGTGGTGTGTGTAGGGGTGGGCGCGGTGCGGTTTGGTGCGGTTTCGAGTGAAACCACAACCGAAATCGAAACTTTTTGCGGTGCGGTGCGGTGCGGTTTTGAAGCCAAAACCGAAATGAAACCAAACCGTTTGGTTCGGTTCGGTGCGGTTTCAAACGGTTTCGGTTTGGTTTTTGAGAAAAAAATGTACAATTTAAAATATACACATATTTATGCATAAAATGGTCTTATTTTCCTTGTATATTAATTAATGAATATGCACCAAAATTGCACCAAAAACAGCAACAACACCAAAAACTGCACCAAACTTGCAGCAAAACAACACCAAGAACTGTACCAAACCTGCAGCAAAAATATGTCAGTAGAAACACAACATATCCTTCTTTTGCTCAACAAGTCAAACAGAACATTTATCCTCCCTCTCTCCCTCTCTTCTCGTTTTTCCGAATTTAAGTTGCAATAGAATTCCATGTACATTTAGCATTGAGTTTTTACCCTAACTAGAAATCAATACCAGACATTTCTATCAAATTACAAGCTTTTGGAGTTGACATGAGCTATCTGCATAATCAAACAGCAACAAAACAGTAATTCATGAAACCGAAATTGTTTTCGATCATGCATTATGTTAATAAACCCCATTTACCATCTCCCACCACACATGATCAAAACATGTTAAAATCCAAAAATTCTCACTACCCAATTGAGCAAAACTCATAGGAAATCACAATGCCATCAAAAACCAACCTTGAATCCTTTATAAACCAGCCCCTTTTTGAACAATTACGCAAAAACCCACCACACAGATTCCATAAACTTCAAGTCCATCGTCTTGTAACGTTCTGGAAATCAATCCACCGCCCCGTCCGAGTGATAACCTTCTCCCACTCGCTGACGTACCGCGTCACAATGCTTCTACAGGCCTCATTGTACTTATCGATTCCCATGTTCAGCACGTCGTCCCGGCGCTTGATACCGTGAGTCTGATCGATCTCGTTCTCCACAGGCAGGCCGTGGCAGTCCCACCCGAATCGGCGGATGACGTGGTGGCCGGTCATGGAGAAGAATTGGGTGATGATGTCTTTGATGGTTCCGGCCAAGATGTGGCCGTAGTGATTCAGTGTGAAATGCACATTTTCCCCTTTAATCTAACAGCATATATGAAATTGAAGACAAAGGATGAGAAATTTTTACCTCTGCGTGTGTCGACTCCAAGATTGGAGGCAAGGCAGAGATGAAAGCAAGCCGCAGAAGCAGAAGCAGTCGCAGAAGCAGAAGCAACCCGCAGAAGCAGAAGCAACCCGCAGAAGCAGAGATGCAAGGAGGCGCAAACCCAGAACCGCAAAGGCCAGATGCGGAGATGCAAGGAGGCGCAAACCCAGAACCGCAAACCAAATGTATAATAAGTATAACCTAAACCTAGTTGAATGAACTAAATAAAAAAAAAGTGCGGTTTCGATTTCGGTTTCGGTTTCGGTGCGGTTTTGAAAACCCAAAACCGAAACCAAACCGTTTTGTGTGCCGCGGTTCGGTTTTGAAACCGAAACCGTTTCAAAACCGTAAAACCAAACCGTTTGGTGCGGTTTGATTCGATTCGTGTTTCGGTTTCGGTTCCAAGTGCCCACCCCTAGGTGTGTGAGAGCTATTGGGTGTATTGGGTTATTTGGGTTGTGAGATTGCCAACACTTTGTAAACTCCCATTTGGTTGATAGTGGATTCTTGGACGAGCTCCTACTGCTCCGAGGACGTACTCTAGTTACACTGACTGTTGAGGAACCTCGTTAAAATCTTGGTGTCTTTAATATTTTGGTCTTGCATTTTCATTTAATAAATTTCCTGTGGGTTAGCTTGAGTTGGTTCCAACGAGTTTGGTGTTATCCTAGCACAACAATTGGTATCAGAGCACTGGTTGCTCTTGGGTACTGTTTAGTTGCCAAAGATGTCAGACGGGCAAGATGAGAATCCTTTTGGAAGCAGCTCCGGGTTTGCAAGAACTACGGTGCAAAATGCAAAGTTCGAAGTGGAAAAATTTGATGGCACAAACAACTTCGGGATGTGGCAATGTGAGGTCAAAGATGTGTTGGCTCAACAAGATCTACTTGCCACTTTGGGAGAGAAGCCGGAAGCTATGTCGAAGCCGGAATGGGAAAAATTAAATTTATGGGCTTGCTCTTCAATTCAGTTGTGCCTTGCAAAAACTCAGAAGTATTTTGTGATGCGGGAGACATTAGCAAGTGTGTTGTGGCAAAAATTGGAAGACAAGTATATAACAAAGAGTGCAGAGAACCGGCTACACTTGAAGAAAAAGCTCTACCGCTTTCAATACAAAGAAGGTACAAAAATGATTAGACACCTTGATGCTTTTAATAAGTTGATTGCCGACTTGTTAAATTTAGATGAGGATATTAAGGATGAAGATAAGGCCTTAATATTGTTGAATTCCTTGCCGGACTCTTATGAGCATTTTGTTACCACTATTATGCATGGTAAAGAAACTGTGAAATTTGAAGATGTGTCAAATGCCTTGATGAATTATGAAATGAGGCATAGAGATAAAAATCATGATAGTACATCTGAAGCTTTATTTGTTAGAGGTAGATCATCGGAGAGAAGATCATCTTCTAGTAGGAAAAAATCACAATCTCGACCTAGAGGAAACTCTAAAGGTAGAAAACCTTTGGAAATGGATGAAT